TGGACACTTACAGTTGATTGTCTACACCCGGTGGCTGACCTGACAGGAGCACGTCCCCTGTTTGCGGAGCTGGGCGAGCTTGGCTCTGATGCTGCCCCCTCTCTCATCGCGATTTCTTGCCGCAAGAAGCTCGGAAATGCCTCCAAACCATTTTCTGGAATGCTATTGGTGCACTTGTACCTTAACCATTCCAGTCTCCAGCCCTCTGATACCAAGTCATCCGCCATCCGACGCATACCAACAAGGTCGTGCTCATGCACACTGGGGGGGGGGGGGGGGGGGGGGGTCTCCAACAGCCTCCTCATAAGGACCTCCCTCTTGGCATCAGCTCCGTTAAACCTCCCATTGAGAGTTTTGATGGCAACAAAATATCCCTCAGAAGCGAATGGTGGTCCCCGGCTGGCCCTCTCCGTATCACCACCGAGATGAGCTTCCAGGTGAGCAAGCCTCTCCACAGGCAGTACGCCAGCATTGTCATGGACGCACGCAACAATCACTTTCCAAAACTTCGGCCCGTCCGTGAGCTCCCCATCAAAGCTTGGCGGGCTGGAAGGCACGTGTTGAAGCAATCCATCTGGAAGTTTCGGAGCCACTGCATCGGATGGAGGAGCTTCTCCTTCCTTCTCCAAGCGAGCTAAATCCGCTTTGCCTTGAGGAAGCCTGCCCCAAATCCGGCTGGTGAATACTCGCGTCACAAATTCGTGCAAGATCCAACTTAGACTGGATTTTGAATAAGGCGTCCTGAATCCCTTTCAATTGATGCAGTTTAAACGCCAGGGTATCTTCCCCTACGTTGTCACACAAGGACAGCACGTCTTTCAGGTCATTCAAAAGGGGCGCAAAATGACCCTAGAAGTCGACGCGCCCTAAAACCCCAATCATCACCATCAGGTCATCCAAAAGCTTAGCAGGTTTGCCGCGCACGACGGCTGTTCTTTGCCTCAAACTGTTTTCTGTTTTTTTTTCGTTCTCCATCATGCAAGAAAGCAACACTCGAAAACAGCTTGCTAAAGCTGACACCAAACTTCAATGCTTAAACGCCAAATAACCAAAAAGAGGCGGTGGTAGACATTTTCCCATCAGGCCCGGAGGCCTAGGTATTCGGACGGTATTCATACTTTAATTTCACATTTTCGGACCGGTCTGGCACGTAATTCCACGCGGCGGTATTTCAGGGAGCCGCCCCCAGAAGCGCCGCACATGTTCCGTCATCGAATTGTCTGGTGGCTCTTACGTGAAGGACTTTACGGGCTGCCAAACTCAGAGCTTTTTACATCGGGATTAAAAAACTACTTCATCCCTTGCTCTCATGACAAATTATGTCATTTTGCATATGCATAGCAAGCCGATTATGCACAACGCAACTTCTGTATGGTATTCGCCCAGCTGTTAAACTTCCAGACGAAGCGCAGGTCTGATACCGATCGTTTAATGTCCAGGTGCATTATATACGTCACAAGTCTTAATCTTTCGTCCGTACAGCTCCCCACCCAGAGCTGGATATGCCGCTGATGGTAGCCGGCGACCCAGCGTACCCATTCTGCCGTGGCTGATGAAAGGCTACACTGGCGCTTCGCCCGAAACACAGGGGCGTTTGAACAACAGGCTCAACCGCACCCGCGCACCTGTGGAGCACGATTTCGGCTGGTTCACGGCAAGTTGGCGCCGGCACTTAAAGCAGTCGGAACAAACTACGGGTTTTATGGCCATCGCGCGCACGTGCGCAATGCCCCACAACACCGTGGAGGAGCGAGGAGAGGCGTTCAGAAATGTCTAGTTGGAGGCAACGGCCATCGACTCAGCCCAGCAGCCACCTGGCGACAAGGACCGCTCAGTCGTAGGAGCTAACGGTGACACGCGAAAGCAGGCTGTGAGCGTATCGCCGATGCCCTGTGGGGGAGAGTGACTGACTGGCGGAGCGCCTCACATGCCGCGGCCGTCTGTGCCGCGTGTCCGGCTCGGCTCACTGCCCAACCACAGTTGCCGCCACACGCTCTTCCCATCATGGCGCCCGCGCCGCCGGGAGGTACTGCCACCGGATACCGTCAAGCGCATGCATGTACCAGGATACCGGTACACCGCACCTTACCGCACCGAAATGTTCGGCGATAATCCATTTCTGTCAAAGTGCGTAGCTTGGGAGCGAAGCTGTTTCGGCGCATTGCTGTGATGAATCGTGTCATTGACCGCCTCGCTCGAGATTTTGGGGGTCATTCTCATGGAATAGGCAGCTCGCTGTAGTGGGAGGCGCACGGTGACCGCAGATTTCGACGCGCCCCAAACCCCTGCTATCATTATTATGACGGGTAACAGCTGTTCGATGGATTGCGTTTGGAATCGACACAACGCCAAAGAGCGGGTCGTTTATTTTCGCTTTCAGTTTGGCGGATGGCCTGTTTGCTGAACCATTCTGCTGCCCGATGTGCGCAATCGTCGTGCGAGCGATTGTCTTTCTTGCCGTTGCTTTTTCTTCCAGTCTTCGGACCTCACCGTGTTGCACCTGTTCCATTCGGTCCAGTTTACGGCCATCGGTGAAGGCGGGGACGGTGGCGCAGTCCCGGTTCAGGTTTTGCTCGGGCCTTGGCTCCGGCTCGTCACCAACATGCTGTTGGGGTCCGTGGTCGTCTATGTGCGTGTCATTTGTTGCTTTCTTTTCTTTCTCGTTGCTGGTTGACATCGGCGATGCGGTTTTCTGTGCGCTGATCCACTTCATTGCTGGAACTCGAAGCTCTGGAGCTCGGTTTAGTAGGCTGCTCAAGTAGTAGCAATGGCTGTCTCCATGTGCAGGAGCCGAAACATTACTGTTACAATGACTCGATACAAGTGTATTTTCACGAGTGGCCTTTTTATGTATGAGGTGATGCCCGGACGCACTTCGGCCAGTCCCCTGGAGTCGCCGCTTGTTGCGCAAGGTACACCATCGTGTCTGCGGTGGTCGGATCGGCAAAAAACATTCCGTTCTCAGCGAAGCTACCGTAAATTTGACATTTGTATGTGCTCCCATAGCGTTAGGCGTGGGACTAAATCAAGATTCATTCGTAATTTGTTTTAATGACGTGTTCGTTGTGCTGCAAAGAGAAATTCTACGTTACACTAAGAACTTTTTGAGTTATGATCACGCGTATCCTGAGCAGTTGATATTGCCGCCTTACACAATGATGTGTTGTTCCGTTGCACTGCAATTCCGCCATGTTGTCGGTATATTTAACAAGCTTCAATGGTTGTCTTGTCTGTATTTTCGCCATACATGAACCACGTAAACACTGGCACCAACAACACTACGAACATGCAAACAATAACATCCGCACAAAGCATACAACACAGGCACAGTAGGTTCTTGCCAAGTCAGTGTGAAAGCGCTTGCTGTTGTTGTTTTTATTTGGTGTTGTAAGTCAAGCCGACTCCTGTGGTCATTTCGTCACCATAACAGATCAATGGCTGCCTACGGCGGTAAATTGCTAAAAAAAACATATTATTCAGAAATGACAACGGCTGAGTTGTGACAAGAAAGCGTCACCAGCAACGACTACCCGTCACCAATGCGCGAATACGTGGACAAATGACATTTGACATCGACATCGACATCATTGACATCGGTTCCTGGCATCATGTAGCGATCTTGTATTTTCACTACACCTACGAGGCGAGGATTGGCGGGGAGTGTCACCAGTCCATGGAGTGTCGAAACCCGGCCAAAACCCGCACAACCACCGGGGAGGACGGCAATACGCGCGAGATGTACGTGACGACAGAGTCTGGCGAGGACTCTATCTGAGCGCCAGCCAGCAGTGTCACCAGCATGTGACCAGACATTGCGCGTCCGTCGTGATGAAATTTCATTTTTGTACAAGGCAGTATTAACAGGCATCAGTCATCATTGTTAATTCTCAGCAAAATACAAGGCGTCTGCACGGTCGGTCATTGTCATCGCTTGTTATTGGCTGTGATCAAGATTAATTATGCCATGATACCTTAACCTTGTTATTATAATAAATATATAATAGAATAAATGAATAATGTATATGTCGCCTAGGCGGGGAGAAGCCTAGGAGGACCTGGTGACTGCACGTGCGGCACGAATCCTACACGGTGGAGCGCGCCAACGCAGGCCCAACGTGCCGGCTCTATGCGAAGGACCACGCCGGCGTGCTGCACGTCTGTGTACACAACCAAACAATTCTGCTCCCAGCTGTAATACGGCATGTATGCGGTGTGGGTGAACACCTTCGCCGAGGCGGGGAGGCCTGTTTACCTGCCTGGAGGCCTGTCTGCGGGCGCCTGCTTCAACTGTGGCGGGGGGTGTCACCAGTCCAGGGAGCAACGCCCGTCGGGACGACAGGACGACCTCTGATATGTCTAGATGTGTCTATAGATGTTGCAACGTTATACGTTATAGGTGTTGCAATGTGTATCGAACAATTACCGTACCGCGAGAAAACAAACAGCAGCAAGGACCCACGAGAAGACTTCGGTCGGCCGCATACCGACATCGTTGAAGAACAGCATTCAGCAGTCAGCGAGAAGACAAACAACAGCAGGGACGCACATGACCCACGGCCGGGTCCGATACAGCCCCGTAGCCGGCGCTCCGCCACGTGCCAAGCCCGCCCGCAGACCGTACCGTACCGTGTACAATAAAGCAACGACGACCTGTCTACGGACAAACTGTAAACTGTATCGTTCAAATGTATCGTTCAACTGTATCGTTCATCGAGAAGACAAACAGCAGCAGGTACCCACGCTCTTTCCGAAATCGTTTTCTCACATCACCTGCCGATTACGAGTAAAATGTTTTGGGAGGGTTAGCGAACTGTGCAGTCTCGCCATAATGTAGGCATCCAACTACTTACCAAGAGTTTTGTCACCCTCGCAGGCGTAAGGGTGAGGTTGTGACACCGAGCGACCTGAAGTGAAGAACGTGTCGTTAAACCTCAATAACGACATGATGTGGGCGGGCCGCGGCTGAGCGGCGCCGCCCCCCCCCCCCCCCCCTGCGGCAGATGCCCCCAGGCCGGCGCCGATGCGGTGTGCGGCGCGTGAAGAGGCCCGCGGAGGACGGCCCCCGGCGGCCGGCGAAGCGGGCCCGCCGGAGCGGAGCCGGCGCTCGGCTCGCCTGGTGGCAGACGGGCACCGTCTACCAGATCTACCCGCGCTCCTTCTGCGACTCGGACGGCGACGGCGTCGGAGACCTGCCAGGTGAGGCGACGGCCCAGCAGGCGCCGGTCAGCGGCGTTCGCCGGCTGCCCGGCGGCGTGCCGGGCTGACTGGGCGGTATGTTGCAGATTGAGCGAGTGAGGACATGGGTGGAGAATGAGGTGCGACAGGTGTAACCTTGGATGCCCTCCAAAGATGCGTCTGCCTCGCGACTTCCCACAAGTATCTGAGGATATAACTCGTGAGCCTGGTTACCCGATCATTATGATTAATCTGATGACCTAATTTACGTAGTTATTAAGTTGATAAAGGAAAGGCCCTCAGCTCCTGGTTGTCACCATTATGAGCTGAAAGTTCTTGTGTTGAGTAAACGGGCTTCAATAAATCAGGAGATACTGTTTAAACGACGTTGTAATGCTAAATAACAACAATATTTACTATGGTCACTTACCACCGGCGGACCTGGTCAACTTCTTCAAGCTTTAATCTGATCGTTTTCCCAGTAATGAATTTCCGTTGTTTTGTAGGTTTTTTTCTCTCCATTTCTTTCTCAGCATTCTCTTCTCTTGGTTGTGGGCGGAGGCCGGACTCGGCGCGCCCCAAAACCCCAGTCATCAACATCCCCCGGACGTGGTGTGGCGGTGCCTCGCTACACTGCGCGCCCCGAATGTCCCGACAGATGAACCGCCCTTTTCCGCCCCGCTTAATATATCCGTCCCCTCACTCACCACCAGCTATCGTGGTCAATTCCGTTCACGTCTGGTAAATCGCCTCAAATGGACGACCCCCATGGTGCCTGTGTGCGGGCGGGCGGGCGTGCGGGGGGGGGGGGGGCATGGGGCAGACCATGCTGATCCGTCCTCAGAGCACGCCCGCCTGGTAGGGAATGGTCCTGTGTACTCGATCCGCCCACCAAGTGGGCCGCTCGTGTTGCTGCAGCCCCGCGTCGTCCGGTATCCTGTTACGACTCGGCCACGGCGGAGAGGTTTAAGCGTGCATCCGGCGCGACCGCCCAGCTCCGCACACAGCTTCCATGACCGACGGCAGGCCAGCCAGAGGCTGCTCGGACGATGCGTGTGGTCTGGTAGTTCCGTACCGGGCGCCAGTCGCGCCTTCCCGCCGCACCGTCCCACCGCGCGGTCTCTGACGCGCACTTCATGTGGACCCGCTACCGTGCGCTTCTCCGACGCGACGCCTGGGCGCCGTCGCAGCTGAAGTGTCGCTGGAGCAGGCTCCGGTCGGGGCCAAGGAGGTCAATGAGAGCGAGGCGGAAGCTGGCACCTGACCGCCGGGGTCCGGCAGCGACCCGGCGTACAGATCCATACAGGGGACATTCGTTAGCCTCGTGTGCTACGTCGTGAGGCATACTCGGCTCCATTTGAGAAGCTTGGGCTGCCTGGTGGCCGGCCCACGCGTGATGCGGCATTTATCAGACGTGTTGGGTTGGTAACTCGTGCGTGCGTTACCGCAGCATCAAACCTGGGTCCGGCCGTTTGTGGCTCGTGGCTCGTGCGCGCGTTACCGCAGCATCAAAGCTGGGTCCGGCCGTTTGTGGCTCGTGGCAGAAGGCGGTCAGCCAAGACCGGCCTGTCATCATCATCATCACTTACTTCCGACCAGCAGCTCCCTTCGTGTTTTGCGCTGCATAAGACAGGCTGGTCGGATCGGTCTCGTGCAACAGGATGCATTGCGAATATTCGAGTGACCATCGTACCCTGGGGAGCTCTTTCGCCCGGCGTGCACGGTACTGCTGCGGTCGCAACCGGCGCTGGTGGGGACTTGACCCGCGTCGGCCCCGCCACCGTCACGTGCAGCCCGTTGGCGGGCGGCGGCGGCCCCGAGGCCGTGTCAGATGTCGGCTCTGATGGGCCACAGCCGTCCTCGCCGCGCTGGTGCGGCCGTGGAATGTGTCCAGCGGCTATGGGGCCGGCGATGGCGCGGCCGCCGCCCGTCCGGCCGGCCGGCGACAGGGGCGACCTCAGGTCATGGGCCGCGGCGTCGCCTCGCGGGCTGTGTGGGCTGCCGCTCCGCCCGCTGGTGACGTCGGCCGGGCGTGGCCCGCCCCGCCCCGCCGTATCGGCTGGGCTGACGCGGCGGCCGGGCGGCTGTCGTCATCCATCCCCCTCGGCCGGGAGCCTGCGCGCGCCGCTGCACCATCGAGCGGCCGACCTCGCTCGCGCCGCGCCGCGCCGGCGCCAACCGACAGAGCGCGCCTGCACGCGGCCAGAAATATCGAGCGGGCGCAGCTGCCAGCGACCGAGGCGTCATGGGTGTGCAGGAGGGCGCGGCGAGCCAGAGCGACGACGGCCGCGCGGGCGACAGCATGGCTCCGAACGAGGCCCACGCGCTGACCGGCGGCGACAAGCCGGCCGTGCCCATGGCGAAGGCCAACGGCGAGCCCGAGCCGGACGTGGAGACTGGCAACGGACGTCCGGAGCCGGAGTTCTGCGGCCTCACCAAGGAGGAGCTGATGCGTTATGCCAATGACCCGTTCTGGGTGCGGCTGCGCTGGGCGCTGTTCGTCTTCTTCTGGCTGGTCTGGCTGGCCATGCTGGTGGCCGCCATCTTGATCGTCGTGCTCGGTCCCAAGTGCGCGCCCGTGAAGGAGCTCGACTGGTGGCAGAAGGACGCGCTCTACCAGGTGTACCCGCTCTCCTTCAAGGACGACAACGGCGACGGCTACGGCGACGTGGCCGGTGAGTGGCGCAGGCTGGGTCGGGTCAGGCCAGATCAGGTGACACCGCCAGGTGCCTGTCTCGGTGGAGCCCGACAGCCACTTTTATGTGATGTGGTTCAATAGTTCGGTTCAAGTAGTTTAAAAGCTCGTTCAGCTTTAGCGGGGTTTTAGCGGGTAGCGGGCGGGGTTTTAGTGGTTATGTATGATTTTGAACGTAACTGTCATCGACATGTCCGTCCGTGACAGCGCGCTTTGTTCCACTTCACCGGGAGCGAATTGCGACAGAAGCAAATCGCAGCTGCCGCATGCTATTGGTACGACCGTCTTGCCGCATGTGATTGGTCATCATGAGGCCGGTGTCAGTATTCTGCCTCCGCCCATCTTGTGGGAACTATTGATCGGTCGGACCGTCCCGCCCTGTTATCGGAGCCATGTGCCGAACAACAGCGCCGCGCGAGGCAGCTTCTTTTCCCCGAATGCTTGATGTGGCGCGCCGCGTGACCGCCTGCAGCCGGCCGGCTGTAACCGGCTCGAGCCGGTTCGGCGAGCGTCGCCGGAGGCCGGCGGAGGTCACCGGACCTGACACCGGAGCCGCGCCGGGGGCTGACGTCGGCAGAGCGCAGCCTCCGCCCCAAGGCGACTGGTGACGTCACGCGTGGGGGGCGTATCGCAGTCAGCCAGCCGGCCGGCGGGCCGGATGGGCTGGAACGGCGGCGTCTATTGCGCCAGTGGGGAATGGGATGAGTTGGGGGTGGGGAGGGAAGGGACGTGGGTGGAGGCCATTGGCAGGCTCGGCGCGCCGGCGTGGCGGAGGTGCTGCTGCCCCAGCAGCGCTCTTCACTCAGCTGGGCGTCCGTACCCTGAAGGTGTGATGGAGCACGGATTGCCGCACATAACGCGAAGTTACTGGCGAACTGGCTGACTGGCGAACCCCTCGACGGTGCGCTCGCCCGGTGAACGCTGTCTAGCCTGCGCCTGCTATGGCATCTGACGCAACTTGAACACTTGGCTGAGTGGCACATTATCTGTGGGCGTCGGGCAGTTTAGGAATGAATTAACACGCCCGCTGACCCAGGCCGTCGTCGGCTCGGCTCGGTTGCTGTCTAACCCCCCCCCCCCCACTACCCCTCCTTGGGTCGCCGTGGCGGGTGTCGTGGGGCGGCCATGGGGGCCTCTGACGGCAGCTGGAGTCGGGGGCCGTGCCGGCGCCCGCACGGGTTTCGGCTGAGGTCGGTCGCTGCCCGTCCAGGCCGGGGTTCGCGTCACGGGTCCCGGCCCCTGGCGGACGAGGCCTCGGCGCCGCCGCTCGCCCGAACTTAACCATAAACAACAAAAAGTAGCGGGCGGTCATATACCACCAGCTGGGGCCACATCTGGCTCGAGGCTGTGTTTTGTTGCGCGGGTCGCAGGAGGGCCGCCCGCGCCGAGGCGGCCGGCGTGTGACGCGCCGTCTCGGCGATCCCCGTGCCACAGGCATCCGCTCGAAGCTGGGCTACCTGACCGACCTAGGCGTCAAGTCGCTATGGCTGTCTCCCGTCTACAAGTCGCCGATGAAGGACTTCGGCTACGACATCAGCGACTTCCGGGCTATCGACCCGGTCTTCGGCACGATGGAGGACTTCGATGGGCTGCTGGCTGACGTCAAGGGCAAAGGTCAGGCCGGGACCGGGGTCGGCGCCGGCAGCCTCCGGCTTGCGAAACTGTTCGGCGTGCTTCACGTGTACCGTACCGGCGCAAATGTGACGTCACGACCGACGTACCGCTGGATTGGAGCATCTCATATCGCTGTGTGAAGACGTCTCGTACGTCTCAGATAATCAAATCATGGCATGTGTGTGTGTCTGTCTAGGGGGTCCCGAAGACGGCAGTTTCCAAGTGCTCCCTCAGCCCAGACGTCCGCCGTCGCCGCCTCGCCGGCTGCGGTGGCGGCGCCGCTAACCCGCGCGTGCGCCGTCCGCAGGCATGCACCTGATTATGGACCTGGTGCCGAACCACAGCAGCGACGAGCACGAGTGGTTCCAGCGCTCGGTGCGCCGCGAGGCGCCCTACACAGACTACTACGTGTGGTCCGACGGCGTCCTCGGCGGCCCGCCCAACCAGTGGCTCTCCGTGTTCGGCGGCCCGGCCTGGACGTACAACGAGCAGCGCGGCCAGTTCTACTACCACCAGTTCCTGTCCCACCAGCCCGACCTCAACTTCCGCAACCCGGCCGTGCAGCGCGAGATGGAGGACGTCATCCGGTTCTGGCTGGAGAAAGGCGTCGACGGCTTCAGGTGCGTGGTCGACGCTCAGGTCCTCTCTCCTGCCGACTGACCACGGCCCGCAGAGCCGAGCCGTGTGCTGCGGCGGGGCAGCAGGCGCTAGGGCGTCACATGTGCGGTCCGCCTGCTGTGAGCCGTAGTGGCGAAGGCGATGATTAGCGATGTGCTGTTTGACAACTCATCCTTTCTTGAATCTTAAGAGCTTCCTGGTTCTCAAAGTATGTCGACTTTGAGGTCAGGTTTACACCACACTAGTGAGGTAAAAATATCGTTATGGGCGCAAAATGACCATTGTAGTCAACGCGCCCTAAACCACTAACGTGGTGGCGTAAGCAAAATGGACGCGCGGCCCCGCGCACGGGCATGCGTGGTTATGCGCAGCAGGCACAGCTAGCAATGGCTGTTTTGGGCCATGGTGTTTGCATTGTATCGGGTTTCGTGCCGCCCTGCTGTCGGCGGTGGCTTCGCTCGTCCGACCGACTTCCTCTGCCGGACAGGCTGGACGCGCTGAAGCACCTGTACGAGACGCCGGACCTGACCAGGACGGAGCCGAGGATGCCGGGCAAGACGGGCTCCACCTGGGAGGACTTGGACCACTGGGGCGTCACCACCGACCTGCCCGAAACGTTCGACACGCTCGCCAGCTGGCGCCTGATCTGCGACGAGTTCGAGGAGAAGGATCAGCACCATCGGTGGGTGCCCTCTGTCGTTGGAGCGCGGCGCGGCTCGGCGCCCTGCCCGTGTCATGTGGGAGGCGTCGGTCACCCACCGCAGACGACGCTGGTTCAGGCGTGGCGGAGCAGGTCGTCGTGTCTCCGCATGGTGCTGCTAGGGGCGGAACGGTGGTGCACGACTGCCAGAGGGATGCCATGCGTGCAGCTGGTTTAATACAGGCTGGTTGTCCGCAATGAATGACGTCTTGTTGTGCGCCCCCGCCAGCCGCTTGGCTATTGCTGACTGGACGTTGTTTCAGGCTGCTCATGGCTGAGGTGTACGGCGAGACCAGCAACCTCATGGAATACTACGGCAACGGCACCAACCTGGCCGACTTCCCCTTCAACTTCCTGCTGGTGGAGCGGCTGAAAACGGCGGCCGACCTGACCGGCACCGGGCTGCAGGCGGCAGTGAGCGAGTGGCGTGACGCCCAGCCCAACGGCACCTGGTCTAACTGGGTTCTCGGCAACCACGACAATTCGCGCGTGGCGTCTCGCGTCGGCGAGGAGGCAGCCGACGCGCTCAACATGATGCTGCTGCTGCTGCCCGGCACGCCCGTCTCCTACTACGGCGAGGAGCTGGCCATGACGGACGGCGAGGTGCCGCCGGCGCGCGTGCGCGACCCGGCCGGCCGCGACCCGCAGCGCACGCCCATGCTGTGGAGCGGCGAGGAGAACGCCGGCTTCTCGAGCGGCGGCGTGCCGTGGCTGCCGGTCAACGCCAACTTCCGCGAGATGAACGTGGAGGCGCAGCTGGCGGCTGATGCCAGTCATCTGAAGGTGTACCGACAGCTGCAGCGGCTGCGCGCCAGCACCGACTCTCTTACCGCCGGCAACTACACCGAGCTGCTGGTCGACGAGCAGGTGGGTCCCCGCGGCCTTGTCGGCGGTCTGATACGGTGCGGCAGGACGATGGCGCTAGCGCCGGAGCTCCTCGTGGGTGTCACCGAAGATGTCTGGCTCGTAGTCGGCTAGCAGGGGTCATATTGAGGTCAGCGCGCGACTCATTCCGTTCGTTGTTTGTGCACTCGGTCTCGTTTGGTCCTAGTTTATGTCGCGTGTGCGTTGCTCGCTTGCAGGCCCATATTTTAGCCAGTTGGCCTTGCTCGCCAGCTGTCTGTGTGTCAGCCCGTCCCGCGGCGGTGGCAACAGCTGGGCGCTAACCGCCGGCCGCCTCTCCTGGCAGATCTTCTCGTTCATGCGCACGCGCAGCGGCTCGCCCGGCTTTGTGGTGGTCATCAACACGTCCGACCAGACGGTGTCGGCGAATCTGAGCGTCTCTAAGATGCTGCCGGCCGAGGGCTCCGTGTCGGTGCGCAGCTCCCAGTCCGTCAGCGAGCAGACGCGGCCCGGCACGCGCGTCCAGTTCAACGCCGTGCCGCTCGGGCCCAAGGAGGGCCTGGTGCTATCGTTCGTACCCAAGAGCGAGTAGTGAGCAGACGCGGCGGAGGCCGCCGCCGCAGCGGAGTGGGTCGGGACCAGCGGCGGCCCTGCGCCGGCCGCGTCAGCCGCCGGCCGCGCGCGGCCGTGCGCCGGGCCGCCGCCGAGCAGCTGTCCTGGAATAAATTGGTCCGGATCGTGCCTTTGTGTGTCTGGTGGCAATGAGAGCGGAGGGGGCGCTGCACCGCGCGGAGCAGTCCGCACTGCACGCGGGGGGGGGGGGGGGCGGAGCGTACGAGAGCGCAGGAGAGCGAGCCCGACGAGCTAAGAGAAATGGGCGGGAGGTGCATCCTTGTTTGAGGACGCGCAGGGAGGCTCAGGGCTGCGTGCGGTTAGCTGGCGGCGTGTCATTCGCTGGCAGGAGTTGCTGGCATCACCATTAATAAGCAACTTTATTTTGTTCCGTTGGAACATACGCCGAACACTTCGTAGTTTGAAAATACTGGAAACGTGTCACTGCAACGAAACAGAGCTGACCAAAACAGTGATTAAGAGTGCCAAAGGAAAACCCGCAAACGCATCACGTCATCAAATACACAAATCCCGCAGCAACGAAGACTGCGGCCTTGGCATCGCGTACCGTATTCCGAGCACCATATGCCTCCTAAACACGGCGATAACGTTAGCGCGACCCAACGTGACTTGCCTTCGGGCGCCTGAGATTTTGACGGACTCCTAGGGACGCATGGGATTTTGACGGACTCCTAGGGATGCATGGGATTTTGACGGACTCCTAGGGACGCATGGGATTTTGACGGACTCCTAGGGACGCATTGGAATTTTGACGGACTCCTAGGGACGCATGGGATTTTGACGGACTCCTTAGGACGCATGGGATTTTGACGGACTCCTAGGGACGCATGGGATTTTGACGGACTCCTGGGGACGCATGGGATTTTGACGGACTCCTAGGGACGCATGGGATTTTGACGGACTCCTAGGGACGCATGGGGTCTTGACGGACTCCTAGGGATGCATGGGATTTTGACGGACTCCTACGGACGCATGGGATTTTGACGGACTCCTGGGGACGCATGGGATTTTGACGGACTCCTAGGGACGCGTGGGATTTTGACGGACTCCCAGGGACGCATCGCTGACCAACAACACTGTGCGTGGCAGCGGACACTGGTGGGAGTTTCGAGCCGCGACGCTTGGACGCTGGCGCGACGTGGCTTTACAAACGTTTGCGCCCGTCGTCGCGTTGCTCTGCACCGCGGCGCGCTTGCAAACGAGGGCGTTTTGAGGGCACCGTCCATCTTCGTAAAACATCAAGCATCTGGGCGTAGCGTGATCGCAAGACCGCAGCATCCGAAGACGAAAATAACCAGCCGTCGCCAGGGGTAACGTGGAATCTTTTTATATTTCAATGACAGCTTCTTTTAATTTGCGTTTTAAGGGACACAGTTTGCGCATACAGTTTGCGCGCGTGCACAGTAGTTATTAGTAAACTAGTCTGGAGTGAAACGATTACCAATAGCACCGCCAGCCATCTGGTAAACACATATTAGACACATTACATGGTATTCACTTCGCCGCCCGCTTGCACCCACCAAATTTGCCGCAACATTTTATGATGTGTCTGTCTGTATGTGTGTGCGCGCGTGCGCATTCGTTCGGGCGTGTCATTATGCGTGCACGTATGCTCGTGTGTGCCAGTGTATAGATGCAAGGCTGTGGGCGTCTGGGGTCGCACACGACTCGTGTTCGCCGCCCCGCTACCCATCGCAGGCACGGAATGTTGACCCACGTGGCCGAGACACAGCGGCCCAGCTGGCTGGCGGGCGAGCCGGGAGTGGCTGACACGGTCACTGCGTGATGTCAAGAATCCTTCAGAGTCAAATCCAGCATCACTAGTGGATTTTGTACACTACCATGGGAGCTTTTAATACGTCCTTGGTTGGAGCGTCAGCATAGTGCGTGGCCACAGTCAACAAGACACGGTAGAAGCAGGCCCAGCCAAATAAACGGAGTACGGGTCCAGATGATTTAGTCTGAGCACTTGCACAAGTGTGAGGAAACTGGTAAGCAGGCAGGGAACGGGGATCATTTGTTTTTAACACATATGTACCGCACAACAAAATAACTTAGTGTAAGGTGGTCCATGCGAAGCGCACAATAGCTGGAAGTTGTACAAAAGCACTCTGAAAAGTAAGTACGATGACTTGAGCATAAACAAACCCAACAGATATAACATGGATACATAAATGAAAAGATACCCAACAGATGACACATGAATAATGCAATTAAAACCGAACAGCATAGTGTGTAGCTGCAACAAGACAACGCCAAAAAGAAAAGACCTTAATGATTTCAGCCGAGTCGTTGCATGAGTATAGCTAAGCAGCGAACATTCAACTGGTCTCAAAGCATGTTTTCTCTGAGGACATCACGAGTTAAGACTGGCCGTCGAGGGTAAAGATCACATCACTGTTCAAATTGAAGCTGCACCAAAACTACTCTAAAAGGGAAATACGACGGCGAGCACTTCATATATGGTGATCAACAAGAGCATGACAGCGAGGCTTTTCTTGACACGCGTTTTTCATCACCAATTCTTTGCCAGCAGTTTCTTTGTCGTAGTTGGCTTCTTTGGTGAGAATAAATCAGACGGCTCAGAGTTGATGCGCACCAACTATGTCACTCAGGCGGCCAGTCCCGGGGATGCGTCTCGCGGCCGTGAGGGGACACCCGGCGACGACCAGAGCAGAGATGTGTCTCGCAGTCGGGGGACACCCGGCGACGACCAGAGCGGAGATGTGTCTCGCAGTCGGGGGACACCCGGCGACGACCAGAGCGGAGATGAGTCTCGCAGCCGTGAGAGGACACCCGGCGAAGACCAGAGCGGAGATGTGTCTCGCAGTCGGGGGACACCCGGCGAAGACCAGAGCGGAGATGTGTCTCGCAGTCGGGGGACACCCGGCGACGCCAGAGCGGAGATGTGTCTCGCAGTCGGGGGACACCCGGCGACGACCAGAGCGGAGATGAGTCTCGCAGCCGTGAGAGGACACCCGGCGAAGACCAGAGCGGAGATGTGTCTCGCAGTCGGGGGACACCCGGCGACGACCAGAGCGGAGATGTGTCTCGCAGTCGGGGGACACCCGGCGACGCCAGAGCGGAGATGTGTCTCGCAGTCGGGGGAACACCCGGTGCCAGCCAGACCAGGGATATGTCTCGGAGTCGGGGGAACACCCGGTGCCAATCAGTCCCGGTGATCAACGCCCGCACCAGTCGTCTCACTACGCAATGGCCGCTGCATCCGTTCCTGAATCTGTTCGTGCTGTCGCTGCGTTTTCTTCCACTGTAATAAAAGCCGTGTCGCTGCTATTCTCGACACCGCTCGCTGCGCCGTCCGCGCCACCGGCCGCAGGCAGGCCCAGGGTTGGCACCCGAGCTCCGGCACGAGCCGAGGGCGCCGCGACCTGACCACGGCACCGCCGGCGCCGCGTCCTCCCCCTGCCAGTAGCGCCGCCCACGACCCGCCCTCGGGGCCGCCCTGTCCCTGCCCGAGGGCGGGGCTGGAACTGACCGCCTGCCCCGCCACGGACACCGTTCAGAGTGAGCCGCGGCTGGTGCACGCTACTGAAATGCTGGCCCCTGGAGCCTTGGTTCATCTTGAAATGCACATAGCCATGTCTGACCGCCTGTCTTTCAGCGAACAGAAGCACATTTATCATGTCCTGCTTCTTTGCAGTCAATGACTCGGAGGCGCTTTCTTGGCGCTGCGGGTGCTCTGCTCAAAACATCTTATAGATGAAGTGACGCCGATTTTCTTGTGTAGCTGGCAAATCCCCGCGCAGTCAACCTGCAGTCGGTGCGCTTCCTGAAGATCAGCTTCAGCAATAGCCAAATCAGGGGACTCACCGCTGGAAGCGTGGCCGCTTTGCTTTCTAAGCTTTAGTCTTGCTTTCTGGGACGAAACTCGTCTGTGTTCAGTTTCCGATATACTTGCCTACGGCTCACGCCTGCAGGCTTGTTTTGATCCCTCAAGTGCACGCTTTAGTTCTGAGCGGCCTAAATAGCTCTTTTTCGGCAGGCATTCTCTTCCTGGCTTTCAAAGGAAATCGTGTTCCGTGAATTCTTCACGCCTCCTGAAAAAACCAACCTTGCTTCGATCGCAATAACTTCCGCGCTGCCAATTTCGATCAGTTGCAGGGTCCGTTCGAGGGCGCTGGCGCCCAATCCGACAGTGAGAGCTCTGGGGGCGAATTTGTCCGAGGCCGCCGTCTTCTGTAACTGACAGGCTTTTCCCCTCCGAACGATTTACCATGTCGGACACAGACAGCTGGCGCCTCCGCACTCCGAACTTCCCAGCACTGAAAGCCTGGGTGCGTCCGTCGTCGGCGTCCGCAAATACAGAGTCCTCCCAGCGCGGAATCATGAGGACCAGGACCCTGCGGACTGGTCAGCGATGCAGCCGTGTCTGCTCACTGTGGGCTGGCCCCGCGCCACGCTCACTAGCTTCCCTCAAACCACCGCATCACGGAAGACGACGTCGACCGGCCTGTCCCACCCGCCACGCTCACCAGCTCCGCTCAAACCACCGCATCACGGAAGACGACGTCGACCGGCCTGTCCCACCCGCCACGCTCACCAGCTCCGCTCAAACCACCGCATCACGGAAGACGGCGTCGACCGGCCCGTCCCACCCGCCACGCCGCGGAGTGGCCGCCGCCAGGCGCATGTCACTGGCCAGGAGCGCCCGCGGCACGCCCCCGCCCGGTCAAGGACACAGGCCCCACAGATGGAACCTAGTGGAAGCTTACGAGATCCGACAGGCAAAGGTAGAATAGGGCATCGAATAATCATGCCATATCTGCGCTGCTCTTTTGACGCCAGACTTTTCCAACGTCGCCGTTAAGGCGCTGAATGGTGGCTGTCCTGCTCACTGGTAGTATCCCACCATTCTCACCACTCATCACTCATCAATCGCACGACGCAAGACGACACAACTCTGTCCGCTGCACGACAAAGATCCACAGTCAAGACGTAAACTCGTGTAAAATGTATTCGAAGCCAACCCTCCGGGTGATCACACCAGCCTATTGCCACCATTCAAAACACGATCGGAGCCAATCACGCGAAAACCACTCAAAACATAAACGACAGCATAAATGACAAGTATGAGTTGATAAAATAATTCACTTATGGGTTAATGTTTGATTACGTCGACAACCGGACAGCCGACGGCGCCGAGGCCCAGGCCGGGCCGCGGCCGGCCCGCGACCCCCCACCCCACCCTGGTAAACGGGTCAGCGCGAGGCGCCGGGCCTGGTCCCAGCAGGAATGCTCGCTGCGGCTCGGCGGCCCGACGTCGGCCAACAGAAGACAACGCGTCTATCACAACCTGGCGGCGTGCAGTGATTTGATCGGTCCCTTACAGTGTAGTGGCGCGGCGGCGCGCGGTTAGTACACACGCTCGTCCAGTTAGCGGTCTGCCGGCGGCGGACGGCCGTCCTGGGGGACGCCCCGGCCGCTATGGTCCCGTTCGCCCATCCACGCCCCACTCCGCACAACAGTGCGCCGGCCGCCGCCGCCGCCGGCGGCGCGTCCAACAGTCAAACGTGGCGGCGGCGGGCGGCCCCGCGGCACTCACGGCGGCCCACACCACGCCTCGCGCCGCTTAGCAACATCAGCGCTCGTCGCTCAGCCACGCGCTCCAAATCACAACACCCGGCCCGGGGCAAGCGACTATCTCTCACCCCGCGCCACCCATTTGAGCCCGACTCGAATAAAGGTCGCCCATTTTCGCGCAGCGCGGCGGCCGCGCGTCGCCGCCGCGCCCACCCTCATCCCGGAAACAAAACATAAACTCATCACAAATAGAAGCTACATAACTCACACGGTCCTAAGAATACGTGATTTGGCATCATCTGCACACTGCGCACCGGCCGGCCAACCCGACAGAGCGCCGGCGCAGCCGCGGCACCCACGCGCCACCTACTGCTTCTTGCTGTCCACATTGGGGATGTAGTCACGCGCCATGAGACAGGCGAACACGGTCATCACCATCTTCGGCTTGACCTCAGTGATGTCCTCGGGCAGCGCGTAGATGCGCGAACCGATCTTGCGTGCCATGGAGAGCGCGTACTTGGCGTTCGCCAGGTTCTCCTGCAATGTGGCGACGCGTCACGCACCAGCGGGGGGGTCACGTGAAGCCTGATCCTCACTTCGCGCCTCGCTAATGACGCGAGTACAGCCCGCAGGCATCAGTCAGGGCGCAGAACACCGACGAGATGAAGTGCCCTGAACCCTACGCCTGAGCACATGCCCGCAAGTAACGTAGGCGACGTTTTGCGCCACCACGCCGGACTCGTCTACAGCATGATCAAGCGAGACAAGCGGCCCACTGTGGTACTACTGGGGCCGCCGGATCGCAGCACGTGTTGATACCATCATCCGATGCAGCATTTCCGTTCCCGGTCTGGAAGGTCGATAGCACCGGCATCTCTCCATGTCTCGTCTCTACCACTGCATTGCTGACCGGTGCCTATCTAGTCAAACCTGTGCCACAGCCGCATGTCCTTCGCTCTCCCCAGTTCCCACCATCGACCCCCGTCCACGCTCTCGCGAGCTGACGGCCGCCTCTCCTCAGCCTGCGGCCGGCCGGGACGTTACTGACCTCCTCCGAGCCACCCTCCCGCACCATCTCGTAGTTGATGGTGCCTGGACGGATCGAGTCCACCAGGTCGATGATGGCCGAGCCCGTGGCCAGGGTCGGGTCCTGCCAGATGCGCGGCCGCGTCAGACACACGACAGACACAGACACGCACAACAGTCACACGGGTCCTGCCAGACGCGCGGCCGCATCAGACACACGACAGACGGACACACACAACAGTCACACGGGTCCTGCCAGAAGCGCGGCCCCGTCAGACACACGACAGACAGACACACACAACAGTCACACGGGTCCTACCAGATGCGCGGCCGCGTCAGACACACGACAGACACAGACACACACAACAGTCACACGGGTCCTGCCAGACGCGCGGCCGCGTCAGACACACGACAAACACAGACACACAACAGTCACACGGGTCCTGCCAGACGCGCGGCCGCGTCAGACACACGACAGACACCGACACGCACAACAGTCACACGAGTCCTGCCAGACGCGCGGCCGCGTCAGACACACGACAGACACAGACACACACAACAGTCACACGGGTCCTGCCAGACGCGCGGCCGCGTCAGACACACGACAAACACAGACACACACAACAGTCACACGGGTCCTGCCAGACGCGCGGCCGCGTCAGACACACGACAAACACAGACACGCACAACGGTCACACGGGTCCTGCCAGACGCGCGGCCGCGTCAGACACACGACAGACAGACACACACAACAGTCACACAGGTCCTGCCGGACACGCGGACGCGTCAGGCACACGACAGACACAGACACACACAACAGTCACACGGGTCCTGCCAGACGCGCGGCCGCGTCAGACACACGACAGACACAGACACACACAACAGTCACACGGGTCCTGCCAGACGCGCGGCCGCGTCAGACACACGACAAACACAGACACACACAACAGTCACACAGGTCCTGCCGGACACGCGGCCGCATCATCAGACAGCAGGTACATCAGACACACGGCAGACGGGCCGGAGAGTCACGGCAGGCAGCACGCTCTTGGACCACACCACACCAACACCGGCTGGAGGTCGTCAACGTTTACATTTGCCAGAGTTAACGGACAGTTTACTACAGGACACGGGCGGGGCAGGGGCAGGAGTCGGAGCAACATCACCACGGGCACTTCGCGCCCCACCGACGGCGAGTCACCGTAAGCCAATAGAGCAGAACCCACTCCTGGGGCGGCTCTCCGCTAACAACGCCGGGCAGGCACGCCAGCACCACACACGCGCGCGCAGCGAGACCGCTCGCCGCGCTGTATACAAACGCGTCGGTCGCCACGCTATTGGCGCCTGTCAGCGCGGCGCGACCGTGGCAGGACAGCGAGCCCGATGGCCGTCCGTTCCGCCGCCAGTGACCTCTGGCGACGCCTCGGCCGCCGCCGGGCTCCCCTTGAGGGGCCGACGTCGGCCGAGCTCCCCACACTCTGACCTGGAAACTCTTCACGCGGGACTGCTTGCCGCCGGCCTTCAGCTTCTCGTTGACCCACTCGATGATCTCCCGGTCAACGATGGGATTCTCGGAGGAGGCCAGCTGGGTCAGCACGGTCAGCGTGTAGGCCCGCATCAGCTGCCAGATCAGCGCTGTAACACAACACAGCACCGTCAGCGTGTAGGCCCGCATCAACTGCCAGATCAGCGCTGTAACACGACACAGCACCGTCAGCGTGTAAGCCCGCATCAGCTGCCAGATCAGCGCTGTAACACAACACACCACCGTCAGCACATAGGCCTGCATCAGCTGCCAGATCAGCGCTGTAACACAACACAACCAGCATGTAGGCTCGCAGCCGACACTGCGCCACCGAGAGCGGGCGTCCAGTCCCTGCGCTACCCAGCGCCACGCCGCCACGCCCCGCGGCGCCAGACGGCGGCCTTACCGAGCGTCAGCGTCTGGTTGCCGTCACTCAGGTCCTGCCCAGCGATGCCCACCAGCGAGAACTTGAGCTCCTTGCCCAGCTCCACCGCGTAGTTGCAGTTCTCCAGCTTCTCCATGAACTTGCGCAGCTTGCTGAACTTCCTGCGAGAGGAGAGACGGGACCGGGTGTCACTGGCGGACGGCGAGAGGCGGGGCACAGCGCGACAGGAGGCCCGCCAGCCCTGCAGCCGGACCTCGGAAGCACCGCCGGCGTCCCCGCTGCAGGCCGACCGGCAGGAGGCGGCGCCAGCGCCAGTACCAGCCGGCCCGCGGCGCGGCGGCAGGGGGAAAGACACAGCGGCGGGCGGTCCGCGGGGCCCGGCGCTCCGACTGCCCCGGCGGCGCCGACGGTTCGGCCACCGTCACCGCAGGCGGCGCCACCATCGGATGGGAACACGCTGAGGAGAGTCGGCTCAGGCCAGCTGCAGAGTCATCAGAGCCTGACACTGATGTCGAATCACTCCAGCACCGATGACACCTGCTCCAAACACCACCACTGATTGTAGCCACGCCGGCGCATCAAGAGAGCAAGGCTCCCATGGCAAGGCCAGCTGACTGTCCGGATGTCTCGCGCCAACTCGAGATCGCCCGGCCTGTGACCCAGACACCGGTGCAGCCGTGCCTCCGGCGTCCTCCCCCCCCCCCCCCCTGCCCCGGTGCCGACTCACTTGTGCACGCGGTTCCAGTTGACGATGCCAGGCTGGATGATGTCATACAGCTGGAAGATGATGAGGCCATCGGCCAGGTCGGAGTACAGCCAGTTCACGTACGGCGACACGCCCATGCTGTTCATCCAGTTGCGGTACGTCTTCTCCTCGCGGGTCTCCTCGATGTTCTCCAGACCCTGTGCGGCGCCGGCCAGAGGAAATTATGACGAAATCTTGTGCACGGCACACCCATGGCGCTGTACGACTGAATGTGGTTACCATAGCCTCATTGGTCCCCGCTCATTTCTGATTCAAAAACTGGTGGCGCGTAGCAGTCCTTTAAGAGGGTGAAGCGAACAATAGATGAAAGCAATTCGCAACGTTTCGAGAAATATGGCAGGGCTAGAGCAATTCTAGGCAGCCAGAATAACAAAACTTTACTCGATAAAGAACGGTCTGCAGCGAATTACGAAATGAATGCTTTTCGGATCCTTCAGAGCATCCCAAAGCGTTTCGAGCAATCAGTGCGGCAGTTTCGTGAAGATAACTCCCGCGTGCGGCAATAACCGACAGGCGGGCACAGGACGCCAGCGCCGACTCCGCCCGAACCGGGAACAGCGCACCCACCTCCAGGTCCATGTTGTCCGGCTTGTCCATGCCCGGGTGGTTGTTGAACAGGTTAGCCACGAAGGCCAAGTTGAGCTTGTAGTTGCCGTCGACCACGTCCTGCGGTGAGACGAAGGCACGGCAGCCGAGCTTGTCGGCCTGCTTCAGCATAAGCTCGGCCCGAGTCAGGTAGTTGGGCTCCTGGCGGACGGACAAGCAACATCAGCTTACGTCGTGCGGCGACAGGTGACAGCACAGCCGTCGACCATCGTCCCCGCGGACGCACGCAGCCGTCCGCGCCGCCGCATTTCAACATCGGACGGCGGCCGAGCGTGATTTAGACAAACGGCTGGCCGGCCGCGCGCAAACAATCAGCTGTAAATAAGCGGCGCGGTGCGGCGGGATGGCGGGAAAACAGCGGGTGGGCAGCGCCGTCCCGGTCGGAGCGGGACGGGTTCACCGGCACGTCCGCCAGCCGGTCGGCCGGTGGCGGCGGCTCCACTGACGACGAATACGGAGCGGATGCGGCCGCGCGAGATCGACGGCCGGCCCTACCGCGTGTCGACGCGAACGCGGCGGCCGAGCAGCGGCCAGCAACGGGTGCGTGAACAGGAGATATCAAAGGAATACTTGGCATCGATAATATGCGGATAATGACGGCAATGGCTGACCACTTCTCTGATGTTGGTGTGATACAAAAAGCCGAAACATGAAATAGTTATGGAGAAGAGCATCCGGCGCCCCATCGGGACATATCCGTCACAGCACACACGGCCACGCGCGCGGTTTATTAGCCCCTCCGAGCATACTGCTGGTGGGTTGGCACCGAACTGTGTGAACACAATCACAAGACCTTTGGGATATTCGAATTATGCATAGCAATCTAAAAATACTGAGTCCAATGATTAGCATCAACTTCAGTGACATATTTCTTGGATATCTCCTAGAACGATCATTCAAATCCCCATTTCAACACACACCTTCCCACCCACGACCCTCGATCCAACGCACCTGAAAATTGCAACTTTTGCTCTCTGCCTTCGGCCATAACGCTACGGACTAAAACATTTCATAACAATGGAACCCTTACGTGCTGCTTGGTGCCCTCCCCCCCCCCCCCCCCGGAATCGTGTTAAGGCGAAAAGCTTGCAGTGCTTGCGGCGTCAAAAGCAAACCCTAAGTAAACAAGATTGTAAATTAATCAGGGAAGTGCTACACAACTTTCCACGCACTGAACTCAAACACGATTTTTCCGTTACCTGGATCCCTTCAAAGGCCACCAACGAAGCATGCTGATTAAAGCTGATAGCGCTGTTAACAATATTTGGCTACGCACACATTCATTCTCCTGTTGCTAAGCATTCGTGCGGCGGTTTCAACAGCACAACTGCAGTGAAATATCACATTACAACCTATAGCCGACATTTGCTAACCAAGCAGAGAAGCGTCAGCGCCCAATGCTAATACTGAATGCTGTTTCACAGGTCTGGATCTGTCGCAGGCTTCGAGGCGAAACTGAACGCAAATACAATTTCCGGTCAGACCGGGCCCCACTCACGTGCAGTCCCTCCATGGTGACGCCGGCATCGCGGTCGGCGATCTGGTTCAGCAGGTGCAGGTACGCCTCCGAGTCCTTGATGTCGCTGGTGAAGTTGTTGACCCGCCTGCGGAACAGCGGCGGCGCCTCATCACACGGTACATCACAGCAATCACGCGCGTCTGGTGAGACGGACGGCCGCCACCTGGCCCGGCGGCAAGTCTGGACGGGTTCGCCGCCGACACCGGCCGCCCCAGCTGGCTCTCGCTGGAGCCGCACGCGCCTCCCCGGCGGCTGAAGGCCGGGCCCTGCCAGACGCGCCGCCCGCCAGGAGGGTCCTCTCGTCGTCATAGGGCGGCACACCCACCTTGTGTGACGGGGGGGGGGGGGGGGGCTCGTGACATCAGCTGCTGTGACGGCCTCACCGGCCGACCGGCCGGCCCAGTCCCGGGAATGCGCGCCGTCGGTTCTCGTGGCGACAACCGGGGCCGGAGCGGCCGGTGAGGGCGAACTGCCCGTGTCCAGACTAGCCCCCCGCCCCGCCGGAATGCAGAGACAGGGCTCGGACTAGCACGAAAGGACACTGGTGGATGGACGGACAGGCCGCCAACGACAGACTCCCAGAACCGAAACAGACTGGCAGGACCGAAACAGGAGCACGGACAGGATCCTAGGCAAGCAACGAGACAACCAGGCAGCAAAAAATGGTCAGGAAACCATTGGGACAGGGACAAGACACACGAAATCCCGTTCAGAAACATGACAGAACAATGAAACGAAGGAAAGGCAGCTCGATGTACCGACCAGAAAACACAGTGGTGCGACGGCGACAAGGAGGAAGAGAACGCCCTGCGGCACACGTCCACCGGCCGAGGCAGGCAGCCGGCCGGTCAGACCCAGACAGACGCTGAAGGAGGGGGGGGGGGGGGGGGGGGGGGGGGGCGGGGCCAGTGGCGCGCGGCCGACGCACCTGTTGACGCCGGCGACGCTCCAGGTGGTAGTTGATCCAGCGCAGCAGGATCTGCTCGGGCGAGAGCTTCATCAGCTCCTCCAGCTTCTCGTCACCCTGCAGCAGGCTGGCCAGGCCCGGACAGTGCTCCAGCGTGATCTGGTTGAACAGCCCGATCTGGGGAGGGGGCGGGGCGTCGACCAGTCAGCTGAGCCCGCTGGCGCCGGGCAGCGACACATGGCGGCCGATCCCACCCCCGGGACGGCACACTGAGCGCGGCGGCGCGGCTGGGCAGGAGTACAGCTCTCGCGGCGTGCTTTCCGCGAGATCGCCAGCTCGGCCCGCGTACGGACAACTGCCCGCCGGCGGCGCATCTCAACCCGCTTGGGGCGCGGCTTTGTGCGAACGCACACCATTGGCATACGTTTGCTTACAATTCGCAGACCTTTTCGCCCAGTGCTTTCTACCACGTAACTTCCCGCCGACCGCACAAGTCTTCCAACGAATAGCGAGCCTCTACAGTAGGCCCATACCACGACAGAGCCTAGCGCTCCAGCCTTTTCGGCGGAGGCTAATGGCCGTCCACGGCTCGTAAGCCGGGTTCACACTCCAGCGAAACTTTGAAAGCAGTCTCCAACTTCGCGTTTAATGCACAAACACCCAGAAGCGGAAGCAACCAACAACACGGGAAAAGTTTTCGGCAAAGCTCATTCCGGTTTGGCACCATTTTCTGCTGTTTTATGACGACCAACGGATTTGGCGAAGGCGATGTGGGGGCAGGACGGATGAAGAGAATTCGGACAATGGGGGAGAACAGTATGAATAGGATAATTAAAGCAGACATTTCCCATATTTCGCTAATTGAACCAGGCATTCCGGTGGGATCCCGTGTATTTCACTGAGTTACGACCGAGCCACTCCGTAGCGTTGCTGCTCAGTTTCGGATGGATGCCAGGGCAGGAGCGCATCTGTCACGCAATTCAGAGCAAACATATTGTTTCGTAATAACAAATACATACTGACGATATGAGCTACGTTATAGTTGAAAAAAGCATCACTTTGGTTTATCGTTATTCGTGAAAGCCGTAAGAAGCTAAATGTTTTCTAAACCCCACCAATCATACAAATACTTAACAGTTTGTTCCAAGCGTGCGAAACGGCCGAAACTGGCAGCAAAAGCACCCTCTGGCATTCATATTTTCCACGAACCGAACCCACCCAAGGCTTCGTGCATGCTTACAGTCATGCAACCCCCCAAGCCCACAGGTGACATCTTACTGGAATACCATCTCATTTCTAAAACTTCGTCGCTGCACCTAAGTTGGGTAAAGTAGCACTTGTTATCAAAGATCCGCAATATGTGAATATACTCAACATGAAGTAAAGCTTCTCCAACCGTCAAATACAAACAGATAAAAACAAGTGACATGCAGACCATTGGGTTACCTAAATAATAAAACACGAAGCGGCCCTGCGTCCGTGCTATCACGCTGCTAATATGTGTGACTGCTTTGAGATAATCAGGTGCTGAAAATGTGGTGTTGAGCCCGCTGCTCTGTGATTAAACCTAGCCTTAAACCTGTGATAAAACATAGGAAAAATGTTGCAGCATGCGTGGCAATGCTATCTCTTGAGGCGATGACGCAGGGGACATTATGATTTTCGCATTTGGTATGGGGCCCTGGAAGACGCCTCCCTGCTTTCAAAACAAATGACGTACGCAATAAGCTGGCCTGCTCGCGAAACAGTGCGCAAGTGCCCGAACAGATGCCGTTCGCGCCGAGAAGCCATGCGGAGAATCGAATGGAAAGACAGTGGCGCTCGGCATACGCTACCCTTCGAAGAACACCATACGGCCCGTTCCGGCCGACGGACCATGGGGCTATAGAGATTCAAATGAGGCGTGCGACAGCAGCGGCTCCGTCTGGCGGCGCGCTGTCCCAGCGCCGGCCGCCCCCGCAGTGTTCCCGTTGGCTTCGTGACGCCCCCCCCCCCCCCCCGCCCCCGCCGCCGGTCGCCGGGGCGGCGGTCACGTGTCGGGGTGGCGCACGGACGGGGTCCGCGGCCCCATCGGGGGCCGACGCGACACGTCTAACTGTTAGCTTTGGTCTCAAGAGCTCACACTTCTCACCTCGAGCCACAGTGTCGACGGTTCGGCGCCGCCAAGCAGAATTCCCTGCCTCGCTTTCAACACCACCTTCACACCCGTTCCCCACCAGTAACGTTGTACCGTCGCAACGGGCTTGTGGCGGAACCCCTCTTAGACACCTTCCCATCCTGTTGCCCCAACACCAACCTCGCTAACCGCCATCTCCATCCCACCGCCTCGAGCCGTGCCGAGCGACCCCCGCATCGCCATCCCACCGGTCCGGCGGCGTCAGCTCGCCGGCGGGGCCGACCGGCGTCGCTCACCCGGGTGATCTGCTACAGCAGGCCCAGCACCCCCGCATCACCACCCCAACCGTCCGGCGGCGTCAGCTCGCCGGCGGGGCCGACCGCCGTCGCTCACCCGGATGATCTGCCACAGCAGGCCCAGCACCCCCGCATCACCACCCCAACCGTCCGGCGGCGTCAGCTCGCCGGCGGGGCCGACCGCCGTCGCTCACCCGGATGATCTGCCACAGCAGGCCCAGCACCAGGTGCGGCTTGCCCTTGGCCAGGTCGTGCGCGTCGATGTTGATGACGTTGCAGCCGATGGACTGGGCCGAGAAGAGGCCCAGCGTCAGATTCTCGTGCTTGGTGTACAATGTCAAGCCCTTCTTGTTGATGGCGCGCTCGTCGATCGTGTCCGGGCATGAGTGGTTGATGATTTTGCTGCGGAGCGGGTTACAGGACGGTCAGCACACACGCGCCGCGCAGAGTACTCAGCATGCTCTCTCTTATGAGCGATGGGCGGGGGGAAACGACAGGCCCTCCAAACAAACGGACAGAGCTTCATTTTTTAGCATTTAATCTAACACAGGAGATGGCAGATGGCGGGGGGGGGGGGGGCATTGCAGACCATAGCTCCCAAAATGAACACGAGCACGAAGTATTCGAACTGAGTCCAACACCGCATGGACTCTGCTACTACGCCTCAGACCGCGACCCCCGCGCCGCTGGTGACGGCTCCACACAGGACCCGTTCGGCGATGGTTCCGCGGAACGCCGGCCGTCGAGTCGTGCCGCGCCGTCCCGCGGCTCGCGGCACGGCAGCCAGCGGGCGCGCTCAGCCCAGTGACCCAGTCAACTGAGCCCGGAGCCCCTGATCCGGACGGCGCGGTCGAACAGAACGAGCCAGCAGCAGCACACGAGGACGCTACAGCTCAAAAGGTCCTCATCACTTCGATTGGAGGGATTCTGTACACGCCGGCTTATCAAGAGGGAGCGGCTCAAGCACGTAATCCGTCACTCAAGAAGCGGCAGTGTAATGACAGCGGCGACGATACGGTATCGGGTGTAGCGCGAGCCTGGCGGCCGTGTCCGGGTGCCGCCCACCCCGGGTGACGACGCTGCACCGCCGCCGCACAAGCTGGCGCTCTCCCGACGGCGCCCGCCCCGGAGAGCAGCACCGGTTGACAGCGATGCCATCGGTGACCAGCGGACCAGCGGACCAGCGGACCAGGTCGGCGGCCGACCAGCGGACCAGGCGACTGCCACCACACGCGGCGTGCCCACACCGCAGACGCCACGTCCGCACCCGCTCGGCGCACCGACCTCCCGCGAACCGGGAGCCGTCCCTGCCGGACCGACAACGCCACGCTCCTTGCCCCGGTAGACTGGCGACGGGCCGGGGCTGACGCGCGCTCGCCACACCAGGCCCCGGACCCTGATGACGTCCGCGCCTAGCGCCACTCACCAGAGCAGGATGCCGTCGCGGACCTTGTCGTACAACGTCTTGCCCTCGGGGTCGATGGGCAGGATGTGCGCCAGGTCGGGGTCATGGCCCAGGTTGGAGTTGATCCAGTCGGAGAAGGCGATCTGCTCCTCCAGCCGCACCGAGTGAGTCGTGCCTGCAGCGGAGGCGCCGGTCAGAGTGGGGGCGGCACGACCGGCCGTCCAGAGCAGACGACACGGGCGCCGCACTCGGAGCGTCCTCCGTGGTCCGCGCACACAGCAGCGTCCACACAGAGTCACCAGTCCCAGCAACTCTGCAGCAATACTCGTCGTCAATGCGCGACAATACCGTACGTCGCCACACATACGAATGCACAAACACCTAGAGCGACGTTTGCGTGTGGCTGGTCCGGCGGACCTGCCGACACCGGCGCGGCTTTACATCGGGCGGCAGCCGGCGGAGAGTCAGGAGAAGTTGTCCGACGACCCGCCGGCGTCGCCCAGCCCGCCCGCCGACCGACGCTGGCGCCGCCCGCGCGGCTCCCCCGACCCAGGACGGCCGTGGGCGACTCGACCCGGCTCGAGCGGCGACTGTCGCGCGTTGGAGCGCGGCGCGCGACCACCGAAGCCGGGTTAGGCAAGGCCTGGAGAACGGCCACCAGGTGGTAACCAAGTGGCCAATTTCGCAGCACGGAAGGGCGATCCATAGTCTGTCGTGCGGGACCACTTGCCCTGTCCGCACGGCGTCGGCGTCGGGCGCCGCCGGCTCCCTCAGCCATATCAGCTGACTCAGTGCGAGCGCCGACCAGCCGGTACGCAGGCGCCGGCTGCGGCGCGCGCGTCGTGCCGCGTCGGACACCGGCGCCGCTGACCGGAAGGTCGGTCACCAGCGGCGCCGCGGCGCGGCCGACACGGAGCGGCCCGCTTCCGCTGCAGGCGCGGCCGGCCGCGGCGGAAGCGGGCCGCCGCCACCGCCGCGTCCGCCCGCCGGTACGCAGGACGCGCGCGCAGGGCAGCGGGACGGACGACGCCGCCGCGACCGAGCAAGCTCGCCGCCGTCCCGACGGACGGCCGGGCGAGGTGGCCGGCACCTGGCCGCCGGGGAGCCCCACTGAACGACACATCGGCCGCCGCTCCCGCGGGAAATCGGCGCCGCGCCGTCGACAAACAAGCCGGGCCGGGCGGCGGCGGCCCGCTGCACCGCTGGCGGCAGAGGTCTGCCGACAGCCGCTGCGGAAGGCCGCGCCAGCCCGAGCCGCGGCGGCGGTCGGGGTCAGAGAGGCTCGGAGCGGGTGCATCCCCGCCAGACAGGCCGCATCACCGGCGGCGCCGGCCGGGGACTCTCCGTGAGTCGGCGGACGATGGGCGGCGGGCGTCACTGTGACCGGGCGCTCGCGCGCGACAATCGCCCGCGCCGTGCAAACACGCTATCTTCGACGCCAGGTGCACGGCTCCCGACCGGCGATAGAGGAGCGCTGTCGGTACAGCTGCCACCTCATTTAAACGAGACGCATCACGCATGAGCCTGCTTAACGGGCGTGGCAGTTTACGGTGAGCTGTCAGCGAAACGCAAATGCACAAATCCACACACACACACACACACACACACACACACATACAAACCAGCTGCAACCTCAGCTGTGTAATCGAAACGACAATCAGTAAAAAGAAGGAGATTAAAACTGCAAATTACAAAACTTATAAACGTCAATATATCACGGTTTGGCGTAACCATAACATTCCAAAGCACTGCACACAATTCAATTTCTGTGTCACTGATGTCAGCGCCAACAATCACGGTGCATTCCCGCTCCAGAGACGGACGTGACGCGGCCGCTGCCGTCTCGGGCCTATCTGCTTGGCTGTACAGGGGCGGGAAGAGGAAACGCCGGCGGGTGGGGCACTCCGCGGCTCGAGCCCGCCTCTGGTGCAGCGCGGCGGAGAGACGGGAACGCCGGCGGGCGGGGCGGGGGGTTGGGGGGCACTCCGCAGCTCGAGTCCGCCTCTGGCGCAGCGCGGCGGATTCAGTCACGCCTAAGGGAGACAACTTACAGTCAGAGATCATTGGGGAACAGGCCACGCTCCACGAATTAAGTTAGCTGCAATCAACATTTCCGCCCCAGTTGAATGCACTCCTAGTAAAGCACCTACCTCGAGCATTATGGAGAGCCAGCGCCACACCACACAGAACATCACGGACTGAAAGCGCCAGCGCATTTGCCCCGCCACACAGCGCATTTACATCCGCTAGTCGCACCGACTATCCCAGCGCGGCCCTTCAACATCCTTGCCACACCTGTGCAGACAGCACGGCCCTCTCCAGACCAGTTCACAAAACATATGCGGCCGATAAGACTGGCTCGGTCGGGACAGCGGCAGACGGCAGTGCTGCCAGATCCGGCCCCGTCAGCGCCGCCGCGACGGTGTCGCCCAGCGCGCGGCCGTGCAGCGCACCGCGCCCGGTCGGAACAGCGGCGGTCGCGACTGACAGCAACCTCCCGGTCGGCGCGCCGGTCACCGAGCGCGGCGCCGCCCAGCCCGGTCTGCTGTTGCGCAAGCGTTCTGCCCAAAAAGGCGAGCGCCTTTTCCGGCGCGGAGGAAATAGCGCGAGCGCCCTCACGAGATCGCGAACCAGTCATACCAGCGTGGAGCCCGTGCACCGGGTCAATGCAGCCGGGTCGCCGGCACCCGCAGTCCGAACGTGTTCCGGGGCCGGCAGCGGCGCTCCGGCGGCGCAGGGGCGCGGCCAGCCCGGCGCGTCCCACTTACCCTCCGACGAGGCGTGCGACATGCCGCCCAGCGTCTCCAGGTTCTCGCGCTTCGACACCACCTTCTTGAAGGTGGTCGCCACATCCTTGGACTTGAGGTCGACGCAGAGCTGGCGGGCGGCAGAGGCGGGTTCAACGGACCGCACAACGCTCCGACAGACACTCAGATCAGGACTCCTCTCCGCCTTGATGGTCTCGACACACACTGCACCGCAGCCTCTGGTGGGAGCTTCAGCAGCGGTAGGGTCAGGACCGAGCTCGGGCACCGTCGGCAGGTTCAGCCCTTCCCTCTTTCCCCAACAGGCAACGACAACAGGTGACAGTACCGGCAGCTCGCACTCGCCATGTCCCCCTCCCCCCCCCCCCCCCCCAGCTCCCTCCCGGACTCCCTAAAGGCCCCAGCCTTACAGCAGTAGCAACTGCGGCGCCAGAGCTTGCGTGGGTGAAGGCGGGATAAAAGGCGGCTCGAACGAGCGACGCATGCAGTGAAGGCGCGGCGACTTAAACCATTTCGGAGTTCCACACGCCAACCCGCCTCCAGCACGCCAGAGCGCCGTCTCCTCGCGTGCGCCCGCAGCTGGCCGTACGCCGCCAACTTCGCGAGGTGTTGACTGCGCTCACACCGCCGCCGGTCCCGCCCGGTCGCCGCGGCCGGCTCGGCGAGCGCACCGGGTCGCTCCGGGCGGGGTGGGCGCGGCCGACTCACCCCCTGGAACTCGATGAAGGACAGGCGGCCGTCCTTGTGGCTGCGGTCGTACTGGTCGATCATCTGGCGCACCTGCCATTGCGGGATCTTGAAGCCGACCAGGTCGAGCGCCGACTTCAGCTCCGACAGGTCGATGTACCCGTTGCCATCCTTGTCTATCTGCGGGTGGGAGCGGGACAAATGTGATCGGTCGTGCTCCTAACGGCCATAGTCAGACGTGACATCCCGGTTCAGCGTCTTTAAAGACGGGGAATGCGACGCGTGCTGTCACGCCCCTGCATGGAGCGCCGGGACTCTAGAACTCGTTTGGGGTTGGCGATGCATACAAAGCACACGCCTTCGCCGACTAACGCGATCTGTTGTGCATCGTTCTCAGCGCGTGCCGACATCTTTTCATTTTACGGTGGCCACGATTTCGAATGGCCTGGACTAAAGGCGTTTTGACCAGGATGCACAGGCAAAGCGTTGATAAGCCACTGACTTTTGAGACATTAACACTCGGCATGCCTGGTGGAAACCGCGACTAGTGAAAGTTTCATGCGGAGGTTATCAAACCCATGGGGACTCTATACCTAAAGCCGGGCGCCTTATCCACTGGGACCCATACGGTGCCGTGACAACGTCCCGAGACCAAGACCAGTAGCGCTCATTCACTGAGCATCATTCTGATAATCACGGCTGTTGAAACATGCCGTGTCCTCATCACGCAGGAAGCGGGTACACGGCATTGTTTCCAAGCTGAGGCAAAGCAATTAGGACGATCTGCCGTAAAAGGGGCCCGGACGACCGCAACGCTCTTCGGCCGCGCCGTGAAAGCCGCGGCAGTAGGCCTGATTGAGTAGCGTACGGCCGGGCATCAGCGATGGCTTCAATCACAGCCAAACAGCGGCCGTTGATCCAATCACGCCCCGTGTTTACGGAGAGGAAGACGCGTCATCTCCGGATATAAAACATGCTGATGGGGCAGTGCCTCCAGGAAATTGAGCTCCCTCCCTTCCCCCCCCCCTCCCCCCAGCACCGGCCACACCGGCAGAACCACGGCCACCCATCGTCAAACAGACTCACTTTTCCCCTCCTGTCCCTTCGTACATCCCAAACCTGAAGGCTTTCGTCAGATTGTTTGACCGTAGATCTGCTTGACGGGTACCGCTAGTGATGTCCAAGCTCCTCACAGCCAACACCGCAGAGGCAGCCAAAGCAAACGCAATCGTGCGTGAGATTCGACGCCAACATCTGCAGATTGATGTGAGATAGGCACTATACACCTGATCTCCAGCTCTGTGAACCATGCTGGCCTTCTTGGCACCTCCAGTGCCGCTTTCCGTAGCGTTTGCGTAGGCGAACGGCGCAGACAACGCTGGCAAACAACGTGACAAACTGTTCGCAATTGGTGTGGGAATGTCGACAGCCGACGCAACTGCCGCGCGTTGTTGACCGCCTCAGACTGACATCGGCGCGAACTGAAGACGTCTCGAGAGCATGGTCCCACGACTGTCGCTTCCAATGAAATAATACATTCGCCGGGACCTGCTTCGGGCGTTCCCAGCATGACTAAATCAACCCTAACGTTGACGGGCATTATGCACCGACAGAAAGCCGGGAACCGGGGGTCACGAGTGCACCGTTTACAGCGCGTTCTGATGCCCGGTCGCCAATCGGCCAGGCACGCTAACCCCGGCACATTTCCATACGCCGCTCCTGACGCGTGATGGCTGGGCAAATCCTGCGGCAATTGGCGCGGCCGTCTCCGGCTGCGCCGACCATTGTTCACGTCCGAAATGGCGGGCCGGCGACAGGGCCGGGGCCAATTCATTCCGCCGAACAGGTCGACTGCGGCGCCGCTCCTGCGGTCGGCCGCTGCAATTGACCCGTCCGACCGCAGCGGTCGGCGGTCGCACGACCGCACGAGCCCGACCCTGGACCAGCGCCGCGGCGGGCAGCACGGTCCCGTGCGCCCGACCCCGGCCCAGCGCCGGGCAGCACGGCCACGTGCGCCAGGTGCGGCGGATCGTGACGCGCGACTTGGAAGACACCGCTGGCACGGGACACATGTCACGTTCGGCAGCGGTTGGCGGTCGCACGACCGCACGAGCCCGACCCTGGACCAGCGCCGCGGCAGGCAGCGCCGTCCCGTGCGCCCGACCCCGGCCCAGCGCCGTGGCGGGCGGCACGGCCACGTGCGCCCAACCCCGGCCCAGCGCCGTGGCGGACAGCACGACCACGTGCGCCCGACCCCGGCCCGGCGCCGCGGCGGGCAGCACGACCACGCGCGCCAGCTGCGGCGGATCGTGACGCGCGAATCGGAAGACACCGCTGGCACGGGGCACATACCACATTCCGACACCCCACAGGGGATCGGGCCGAGCGTCAGTGTCGTCTGGAAACCACAGCAGATGACGAGCCCGGAGCTGCCACCGCTGGACTCTGGATGCTCAGGAGGCCAAAACCCAAAAGATGACCGGAGGCTGGCCGTTCTTCCGCCGCATTGACCGCGTACGAGGCGGGATAGGAACGGCGCCGCGGCCCATCGAGCGTGAACTACCGCAATCGTGAAAATATTTACGACGACGTTGCCGAGCCCAGAAACCATAAGTCAAAGACGCCGGCATGACAAAAGGCCGCAGGGGTCTCAGATCGAGGCCGTGACGAACGTCAAACGTCTGGCGGTGCACCGCGTGCCGCCCGAGTGCGTCTCGGTGACGCTCGTCTTTAATGACATCGTAGCCTTTTGTGAGCCCAAGCGCAACAACCTTATACAGATTTCTTTAAGCATACAAGTGGAAGGCTGTGAGCTGAATGAATATCTTTGATCACGTTTGATAAACGACAAAAAACGTCTTGAAAAATCCAAAAGACTTTTCCTGGAACTGATCCAGCGCACTTACCGTCTTTCCGCATTCCTTGCGCAATGCACATTCAACATGATCGTTTGACAAAATCCATCAGTAACAAGCAAAAAATTTCAATCCAGGACCAACTACTACCGCAAGCCCTCCATCCGAGCTTGAACGGACCCCGAATCGCCGTTCAGAGCCGTTCAATACCACCCAGGCATAGTCCCTTCCCCGCACTCCGGCTTCAAAACGGCCAGAATAGCTAATGACGCGCTCTCCACACGCCGAACAAGACGCTCAAAGCTGAAATTGGCCCATTTACCTTCCTGATGCATTCCTCCTGTCGCAACTCGTACAGGAATTCCAGCATCGAGTCCCATCTATCAATATCCATGATATCCATGGCGACAGGCGGCTGAGCCGGAGCGCGCGCGCGGCACCTGGGACCGGCGGTCGGCTGCAGACGGGGCGCGGCACCAGTCCCGGCGGCGAGCGCCACAGACGTCTGTCCCGGTCACGCACGCGGACACCACTGGCACCGGTGAGCAGACGCCGGCCGCCGAGGCAGAGAGAGGTGCGTCCCACTGAGCCAGATTGGCTGGAGCGACAGCTGGCGCGGCCCACCCTGCCGACGGCCGGCGGCTGACGTTGACGCACGGCACCGGCCGCCGTCATCCGCCGCCGTCACCCTGAGCCTCTGGCCGGGCCGCCCCTCACCCTGAGCCTGCCTATCGTCCGCCGTGGCCGCTCGGGGCCAGGGCGCCCGGCTCCACCGTCCTCGTGTCATGTTGTTCCTCCTCACTGGCGACTGAGATGCAGCCAGCCGCCTGCGGCCTCGCTCACAGAGGACGGTTTCGTGCCTCGCACACGGCGACTTTCCCGCCGGCGAGAGGAAGGCTCTGTGCCTCGCACACGGCGACTTTCCCGCCGGCGAGAGGAAGGCTCTGTGCCTCGCACACGGTGACTTGCTCGCCGGCGAGAGGACGGCTCCGTGCCTCGCACGCGGCGACTTTCCCGCCGGCGAGAGGACGGCTCCGTGCCTCGCACACGGCGACTTTCCCGCCGGCGAGAGAAAGGCTCTGTGCCTCGCACACGGCGACTTGCCCGCCGGCGAGAGGACGGCTCCGCGCCTCGCACGGCAACTTTTTCGCCGTGCGGGAGCCGAGCCGTCCGGCACCGTGGCGCGCCGCGGCGCCGGTGCCCTGCCCCAGTCCGGCCACCGGTGGCGACAGTGAGCTGAAGCCCCGCTGTCGGGCACAGAGGACCGGTGGGAACACGGCCCGCTCGGGGCCGACGCCCTGCTGCCGGCAGCGCCGGCCGCTTCTCGTCCGTCAGTAAATCAGCGTAAGGCTGACCCCCAGCCCAGCTTTACGCAGCAGCGGGCCCGAACAACACTGGCTGGCGGGCTGCGACGGAGACAGCGGACGGAGCGACAGCAGCGATTGCAATGGCCTGTTCTTCGTCGCTGGCGACTTGCTCACGACACTTTGTTTACGACACGTCGACTCCTGCGTTCATGTTGCGCGTAGATCACGGGGAATCCTGTCATTAATGTTATTTACTTTATCAAAAACATCACTGGGAAATGAAGACATCGCTATGTGTCACAAACGGACGGGATCCCGGACAACACACTTATGATCTGCTTCGCCGACCATTGTTGGCATGCCAAACACGGCTTTCAGGCTCACGGAATGGCGAAACCTTCGGGGTCACTGAGCTCCATACGAGAAACATATGCGGGATGCCGTTCTTCAGCTAAGTGCCATATGCGCGCCACACAATCACAGTCGGAGAAACAGATGTGCATTTGTGGAACACAAACGCAGCTAATGACATCCATCTGCTGGTTGTCCGCATCATCAGCGGGGCGGCCCAAGCCAGGCCCGAGCTTTGGTGCATTGATGGTGTGATTACTGAGGCAGATTGGAGAAACGACCCCCCTCAATTAAATTTACCTGTTAGATATCTGACGACGGATTGGAAAGCTACCCAGAGTAGCGCGTCCAAATGTTTTTCTGCTGCTGCTGTCATTCCGTTCTTGTTTTTCCCCAACCACGTACGGAACTCAACGAAACAGTGGGGTAACACAACATTCACACACGCGATAAGTTATGAATCCATGAGCTGGACCACAGAGCGCCGATAATACGCGACCCCGCCGCATCACCGTGCTGCGAGCCTGCTGCTCTTCAGCCGGCACCCCCACCACCGCAGAGCAGAGGCGCCAGGTGCGTACGCCCGCGGACGGCGTGGGTGGGCGGGGATCGTGCACCGCCCCCCGGTGTTGTTTACACAGGTCTGCTCTCGGCCCACCACCCGCCCGCCGCATCCGCCCGAGACGGCGCCGTCACAACAGGCCGACGCACCGTGCACGGCACACCATGTTTGACACGGCGCTGATGCAGGCGCCCCGCCCCGCAGCGGACACGCCGATGAGTCAGCGCCGACCGGCCCGGCCGCCGTCGGAAGCCGCACCTCGACGCCGAGCTCACGAAGCATCGGCCCGCTGCTGCGCACACGACAGGTGACACACGGGCTGCACTCGCCGACGGCGGCGGCGGATAGACACGCCCGGGAGGGGACGGCGAGGCGCGACGGAGGGGAGGGGGGGGGGGGGGGGGGGGGGGGGGGGGGGGGAGGGGCGGGGAGGTCCGGGAGAGCAAAGAGCGATCGCCGATGGATGTCCCGGATGGCGGCGTTACGTCGGTGTGGACCCGTCGTCGCCGACGCGTCCGGTTGTTTATGGCGCCGCGGTCAACTGAGTGGAAGCGAGTGCCGCGGCGGCCGCGGAGTAATGGCCCGCCGCTGGCCGGTCCGACAGATCCTCAGCAAAAACTGAGGGGCCCGCCCGGACGCCGGGCGGCGCGGCCAGGACGGGTTCAGCCCGCGTCCAGATCTGTATCTCCGCGTGCCGCGATGACGCCCGCGCGTCCAAGACCCGTACGGCGGTGGTGGAGCCGGCAGGACCCGGTCGCCGGCCGCCCCGTGCCGGGCGGCGCCCGCGCCCCGTGACCCATGGCCGTCGCCACGTCCGCAGCGGAGCACCGCCGCCCACATGCGCCGGCCATCCAACCTCAGCCGGCACGTGCCGCGCGCTGCAAACGGACGTGGTCGGGTCCCGGGGGCCAGTCGGTGCGCCTGGGCGGGGGGCCGCCGCTCGTCGCCAGCCGGGGAACGGGCGGCGGCCGATGGGGCCCGGGCGGCGCCGCGGGTCGGGCTGTGACCCTCGGCCGCACCAGCCCGGGCGGTGGTCACGACCGCCCTCAAGGTCCGGCTGATGGCGCGGCAGCGGCCGCACAACCAATGCACCAACAGGTCAGACAAAGGCCAACCAAATGGAGCGCGCCAATTGGCATAGTCAATCGAATTGGGCCGGCGGATTAACGCCAGACAATCAAGTAAAGCGGGTAGATTGTCGGGATTCAGGAAAAGACGGTGATACGTAAATAGTGACACTAAAATACCGTAAGGTGGTCTATTGGTGTCAGTATGCGATTCAAATGGGTGCCTGTAATGCCCAGCCCGCACGCACAGAGCACATCCAGAAAGCCGGAACGTTTCCGCGGAGCTGATTATTCTGATACTCTCGTGGTGCCCCCGTCCAATACAAAAGCGCCCGATAATGATTACCGAAGCCAAGTCGCTCAGCCGCAGCGCCTTCCACACCACGCGCCAGTGAAAACATCTCCCAACGCCACCTCTGGCGGCCCGCGCGCAGGAAGCAAGGCACCGCCGGCTGGGCCCGACCGACAGCGCTCCGGCGCCGGGCGGACCCGGGTCGGCCGTCCCAGGTCAAGACGCGCTAGGTCAGGCCGGCCGGCCGGCGGCGTTGCCGATCGTCGTCGCCGCCGCCGCCGCCGCCGCCGCCGCTGGCCACCATGCATCAGGGGTTCGGCCCGGTTTTGCGGCGACGATCGGTCCCGCGGCGGGGCGTCACCCCGCGCCGGCCGGCTCGCCGCACGCTGCTCGCCGCGCCCGCTCCCACAAAGACTGCACTCTGTCACAGCCGCAGTGCTGATCTCTTATACTCGATACTGGGCAGAGTGCCTCCGGTCGTTTCGCCGCCGCGGCCGGCTGGCGGAGACGTGGAGTGTGGGCCCGGGCGCCTCCGCTGCGCGCCCAAAACGTCATAGGGCTTCTGTACCCTAGTCCTACACTCGCAGCCAGTTGTTACAAAGAAAAGCTTTGAGCGGTCATATCCCGCCCAAAATATATGTCTTGTGGTAAGAGTTGTTCAACAGCAGACAACCTTGTCACTGGACGACGTGAACTCATCAGATTGGTTTTGTTAAGCATATGAAACAGTGGACGAAATCAATGTCGCCAATGTTCCAACGACAGCTGCACCGATCACGTGATAGGCTCATCCCGACGATTAATTAGTCCACAACCGCTGCAGAGAAGTTAATGAGCCACAACAATTTTAACAGGCATTCGGCATGTGCTGAGTTACCACCGAATAAATCATAGAGCACGCGAGAGACGGTGCGACTGGGGCGAAGTACCTCTGACGTTCATGACGGCACACGGAACCAGAAACGAGCACAATGGGCGTTGCAAATTATCTTACACAAACGTTGCGTTCCATTGGTGGCACCCAGGTAGTTCAATCGCAACACAAAAAATATTGGTGTGTCGCATAAGCATCGCCAGCCCCAGGCGACACAAGATTACTTCCTCCCGCCTTTATGTGTGCCCTGACGTCCTCTAAAATAATGGCTTCAGCTATTCGCCGTAAAACAGAGCACCACCGCCGGCAGAGAAGTCCGTCCCCGCCCGCCGACTGTCAGCTATCGGCGCACGATCTATTTGTCAGGTGTTTCAGAATCGTATTCTCAATGGAGCTAATTTAGCTGCTGTCGTCACTGGGGTTCTACGACGCATTCAACCTCAGGTGCTTTACATTGCCTCCTGCCCTTCACCCTGGCGGGAAGGGTGGCCATGGCGGGAAATCGAGCCTCGTACCTCTGGTTTCCCTCCAAGTCTGGTTTCCCTGACGCGCAGTCTAACCGTTGAACTGCCAGCAGCCACATACTTCGGCTGATGTCAGCTATTCCCGATAGCCGCACCGCCAATGGCTCTAGTCCAGCCCAATATCCCCGCGTCATTCCTTCAGATGGCCATGAAGCAGACACTTGCAGCGCTTGGAGACAAATTAATCGCCGGGCAAAGCTATCACATGATCGTTGCAGCGGGGGCTGGAGCATTAGCGACATTACTTTCGTTCGTCGTCTCGTGGGTTTAGCGATAATCAATGCCATGATCAGCTGCGGAGACAGACGAAGGGAGACATGTGCCAGTCGCGGCGCGCAATAATCCCCGACCACAATCACGTAATCCCGGCGCGTTCCTTCGATCACAGGAATTTCACCGTTCAACAAATACCTCGACGTGAATAACCCCACTCCACGTCACGCTCCCACCCAAACCAGCACGCAAGCCACATCTGACTCACAGCCGGACGCGGGTCGACTCCAGACACACGGTCAGCTGACTTTCCGTGTGCGCCCTGCAATC